TCAAAGATAAAAGATATAAAATTCATGGTAATGTGTCTAAGAAACTCATATGGGATAATGCCAAATCAGCTATGAGAAAACAGCTCACCCCAGTCAAGTACTTGATGTGGGATTAAATCATAGCTGTTTCCATTTAAATGAGTTTCCAGACTGTTTCAGCATTTTTAAGATGTAATTTTTTGGCCTATTCTAAGCAATCTTTTTTGGAATCTCTCTAAAACTTTGTGTTTCACTCCACTCACAGAAATGGAAGATGAAGGATAACCACCTAAGAGATACAGGTGGCATGTGTCTTTCCTTAAAACCTATCTAGAAGAGGAACAAAGTCTGCTAACAGTGTTCCAGTACAGACCCATTCAGTTTAAAGGAGTCGTTTCAGTGGAACATCAGAGTTAAACAAAACAGTCAGTACTGAACCATTTAAAAAGCTTCTGGGAGCACTTTCATGTCTTTGTGCTCTGTAAGGGGGTATGAACACTGACTCGTCCTGGATTTGACTGTTCAAGAATCTGTTGCTTTTAGAAAGAAATGTTTGTATTAATTTGAAATAGTTTGGCTCTGTTTTGATTTTCATATTGCATAGCAGATACGATATGTTGTCAGAACAAAAGGGTTTGATCAGTCCCAAGCTTTTTGTCCTTGGATTTTTTTTCTCGAACAATTTGAAAAAGCCAGGTTTACATTCTGACTCAGAGCGAAGCAAAATGTCAAAGCCTCTATGTATTTTAGGAAACACTTCCAACCTTTGCAGATTTCCACTCAATATAGATAAAAATGGTATTATAGCCCCACCTTTACATAAGCTGCTTTCAAAATTGTGTGTTCAAATGGGATCTGATCCACTGCATGCTTTTCTGTCTGCTGTAGTGAAAGACATATATAATTTGGCTCATAATTACAGAGAATGCGTGTTACACAATAGCTCATGCCCTCTGAATGTATAATTATGCAGTCAGGTTTTTTTTGTTTTTTAAATGAAGATCAGTGTGTGTCTCATTCAAAGAATACAAACTGCTTGGTAATAAACTGAATATTTCTTCACACATGTCAAATTGGCCGACATTTACATAGAAACAAGAGAAGGTTGTGAGAGCAGGGATTGAAACAACCCAAAGTACTGTCTGAAAGAAAAAGTGTACCAGTGCTCCATCTGAACTACCATATCACAGTCTTTCCTTCAAAAAACTGATTTTTTTCAGTGTCAATACCTATATGACTGTAGTCACTTATTGGATAGAGGTATATCTGAACTACAGAAAAATAGAAAACAATTTCTGTGAAAACACTCATATCCTGTACAGTGAAACACAACGCTGAAGTCTATCAAAATGTTTATCTAAGGGCAGTTTAGATTCCCTAAAATCAATATGTAGTAAGACTTGAATAACAGTTTCAGATGTACCAGAAAAGGAAAGAAACCCAAGTGTCCCGGAGTTTTTGAGAAAATACTCTAAAGAATATTCAGTTCTTTTTGAAATTTACTCTCCAGTTCACAAGAAAATAATGCAGCCAGCTTCCATTCACTAGGTATTTTCTATAATGATGGCAGGAATACTAACATTAGCCTACAAAATTAAAGTATTCAGTATTTGGGGATTCCAGATTAACTGAGAGAAATTTGGAAAGAATAAGAAAGGAGTACATTCTGAGCACAAGGGATGAGAAAGTACATAAAAATGAGATAACTGAGAAGGAGGAAGAGGAAACTGGATAAACTGCTTTAAATCTGTGTGCTACTGTTAGCACCAAAAAAAAAGATTGCTTTATATATCTTGGCTGATCAAGGTCAAAATAGCTTTATGGGTTTGGTAGTTAAAACTCAACTCTGGTTTTATAAAAGAAACAATATTTCATGTTTAATGAATGTGAAGAGTGGGAATAATTTTTTAAATTAATAAATGTTGCTGAAATTATTTAATGTATGTTATGACAGACACCGAAATGTGTTTTTAAGCATGCTCACTCAGGGAAAATCACACTATACCAAAGGAAGAGGAACATTCAGTATATGTTTTTCTTTAGATCTTGTCTAAAATATGAATACTTTTCAATATAGCTGCCCTGTTGGCTGCAGAGTATGTGTCTTTTTACTGCAGTGAAACTCTTCTGAGGAAACTAGCTCCTATGCAGAGTAGAGGTGCCACATTGAGAAACCTGAGTTAGTTCTGAGTAATCTGCTTCTGTTTGTGTGGTACAGCTTAGCATGGTCCGAAAATGCAAGCTGAAATCCTGGTGTCTGCTGAGCTCCATCCTACCTCTCTGTCCCAGTATGTATAACCTTACTGGGAGAGACTGAATCGGGAATAAAATGTGTGAGGCACGTGAAGCTTTCTTGTTTAGAAGGTGGGTTAGCTGATCATAAAAAATGGCAGATGCCTGTGTAAAGGTTTTAAGGTTTGGTTGTTTTTTTTTTTTTTTTTTTTTTGTTTTTTTTTTTTTTTTGTTTTTTTTTCCTGCCGACCTTCTGATATCTGTCTGGCAGAACCTTATCTCACACTCTCCATTTATAGTTTTAGAGGAAGCTCTCACTGAAGCTACTGTATTAGCTCATTCCTCTATTTGGGATTGCTTTTAAATCAGCTTTGTACTTCTCAGTAAAAACTCAAAGCCTTGATGATGTAATATATAGCCTTCATTTATCAGCTATTATGCTATTGAACAGAAGTGTTATTTTCCCTTGAAAACCTCAGTAATTTATATTTTTGTTATGCATATCTTCCAGAGGAATGCCACTGTGTCTTGCTGATGAGAGAATTAGTGTTCTTTGTATTCAGGGCATGATAAAAGTTTTCTCTTCTGCTCATGCTCAGATGTGGTGTTATTCGCACAGTTTTAAAATTAACTGTAAAGGTTTCACATTTACAGGTGAAAGACTGTAGCTTTTACACTCATTTGTTTATATATATATCATGTTTACTACAGTACTGGATTATTGTCATTATTTACTCTTCCATTTGTTCAATAAGATCTATTAGTATAGAAAAGGGAGAGGTTTGTTCAGACACACCTTTCTTAAAATAGCTGATTGCTCATCAAACAAGTTAGTGATTTTTCTTTCCACGCTTTGTTTCATGGGTTTGATTTGGTCTATCTTGTTTCTTTCTAAAGGAAAATCAAAAAATAAGGGAAAAAAAGTGTCGTCTCTTCCCTCTTCCAGTTATTTAGATGTGGATAACATTCATTTTCCCAAGTATGTGTTCTAACTTTGAGTTTTATTTTACACTATCAGATTGAAATATCAGTTCCTACACAGAAGAGCAAATCTAACCATTCAGACAGTGAAATATACCCAGATTTTAGCAAACGCAAGGGAAAACCTAATGCTTCTAGTAGAAAACAGAGAGAACCCAGTTCTCTGGCTATTGTGGGGCGTGAAGCTGAAAGGGAAAAAGCTGACGAGGTAATAAAAAATGCATATGTGCTGTAACATTTAAGGAGGTTATTTTTATTCAATTTACAAGATTAGTTCTACAATTTATTGTATTCTGGGCTGTGTATTTATAATTGTTCATTGAAAACATTTCCTTTTTCCAAATTTTACCAGCAGATTTTACAAGTTTGAGCAAAATACTCCAATGTAATTTTCATATATACAGTCCTAGAAGGAGTGGGGAAGAAACTGGTGTATTTAATAACCATCCTCAGAAGATACACACACACAGAAAGAAGAAGTTTGGACCATTTATCTTAATTCTGCCATTTTATGACTTTCGAGTGCTTACTTTAACAACCTTACTGTTCTCATGCTGTATGTTTCATAAGTGATATGAAGAGATGAATAGTAGTCAGTAATTTTTGGTGTGTTTTCATCTACATAACTGTGCAAATATCTCATGCATAATCCTTCATTAGCATATCCATACCGCTAGAGACCTTTGTCATGCGCATTCACAGAATCACAGAGTGGCTGAGGTTGGAAGGGACCTCTGGAGGTCATCCTGTCCGACCCCTCTGCTCAAGCAGGGCCACCCAGACCTAGTCAGTTGTCCAGAACCATGTCCAGGTGGCTTTTGAATATCTCTGAGGATGGAAACCACAACCTCTCTGAGCAACCTGTGCTCGGACACCCTCACAGGGAAAAAGTGTTTCCTGATGCCCAGTCAGAGCCTCCTGTGTTAATTTGTGCCCATGGCCTCTATCCCTGTCCCTGGGCATTGATGAAAAGAGCCTGGCCTCCTCTTCTTCACATGCTCCCTACAGGTATTTATATACATTGATAAGATTCTGCCCCCCCAGCCTTCTCCTCCAGGTTGAACAGTCCCAGCTCTCAGATTTTCCTCAGGAGAGGTGCTCTAGTCTCATCATCATCTCAGTGACTGTTTACTGGACTGTCTCCAGTATGTCCATATCTCTCCTGTATTGGGAAACTCAGAACTGGACAAAGGACTCCAGGTGTGGCCTCACTAGTCCTGAGTGGAGGGGAAGGATCATCGCCCTGACCTCTGGCAACACTTCTGATGCAGGCCAGGATACCATCCACCTTTGCTGCAAGACCATGTTGCTGGCTGATGTTCAACTTTAGTTCACTGGGACCCCTAGGTCCTTTGCTGCAGAGCTGCTTTCCAGCTGGGTGGCCTCCAGCCTATGTTGGTGCCAGGCGTAGTTGTCTCCAGGTGTGGGACTTTGCATTTGTTGAACTGTGTGATATTCTTGTCAGCCCGTTTCTCCAGCCTGTTAAGGTTCCATCTGGATGACAGCACAACCGTCTGGTGTATCAGCCACTTCTCTCAGTATCAGCCACTCCTCCCAGTTTGGTATCTTCAGAAAATTGAGGGTGCACTCTGTCCCATGACCCAGATCATTTACAAAGATGTTAATTCCATTCATGTGTCTTGAGAATGGACAAGCACTGAGTTAGTGAGTTGTTCTTGCAATCTCACAAGATCAATAATAAATGGCTGGTTTGACATTTATCTTAGAGGTTAAAACAAGATGTTTGTATCATACAAAATTCTGTAATAACGTTTGCTTACTATGGTCTTCCTTCAGAGTCCAGTGCATGTCTAAATGATGGAGAATGAATGCATGTCTTTCCTTCTCAAAGTCTGTGTGCAAGAGAGACTTCCTCAAGTCTTCCATCCATACCAAAGATATGAGTTCTAACACTTGAAACCCACAAGGCTGGAAGTTCAACTAAAGAAGGTAAACTCTGTCCCATTGCTATTTCCACTGATCCTGTTTCTGTTCAAATGAGTAGTTAGAGGGAAGAATCATCCCTCATCATAAGAGCATGTCACTTCCCTTTTAAAGAACTTTCTTGCTTTATTTCTAATTCCAGATGAACGAGGGAAGATATAACTTTTTGTTGCAAGATTAAGTTTAGAATTAGAAGGATTTGGGTACGGATGAGAAAGACACATCGTCAGTTGTGTCAAATTCCTGGTTGATGCAACTGCTCAGGGTTAACAAAGACAGTAAATGCTGGACAACTGAACTCCTTACCAGTGTGCCTTGACTTAGGTTGAATACAATGGTTCATGTCTGTTGGCAGTGGGCATCTCACTTCCATTCTCATGCTTGGGCAGCTCGGTCTTTTGTCCATCTACACTCTGGTAGTCCCACTGCCAAAAGCAAACACTGAAAACCAGCTTCTGCCTGTGTGCCACAAGTGTAGGGTCTGTTCTCCCACTCCTGTGGTGTGCAGGAAATGTGTAAAGTACCTTCTGCATTTTTTTGGTAATAATAGGTGACATCAGTAGAGCCTTGAGTGCAAATATAGTGAAGTGTCATGTGACAGTTGATATCCTTTCCCCCCATACAGAAATAACCACTTCCTTTTGAAAAGTAATTCAGAATATCTGAGTCATTAATGTTCTGTCTCAGAATGTGATTTCCATCACGTTGCTGTTTTTGTGGTCTGCTTATGATGTGAGTTATCTAAACCAGCATTTCCAGCATTTTTTTTCTGTTTCAGATTCATGCCCTTGCCATCTTTAGGAGAAAAAAAAAAAAAAAAGATAAAATTTTGAAGCAAAATGTGATATTTTATGATTTATTGTAGGTTTTTATTCTCTTTTTTTTTTTTTTTTTTTTTTTTCAATCCCCCCAGTATTGTTATCTGACTTACTGGAGTTATGTCAGTGATGGAATTGACACTTTCTGTCCAATGGTTTGACAGGGGGAGGCTGTTGCATATAACAATGGTAAAAGTAATTTTAAATAAATCAAGAAACCTGTTGAGTAAATCGGATAGGTTATTTTCAGGTTAAATAGATTTAACTAGCACTACTAGTTAAAATTCTTTACTATTAATACTGCTACTGTTATTAACAATAGTAATAGAAACTGAAAATGACAGGATTGATAGTAGTACTGAACTTCCTTTCATTTTCTCCAGTGTCCCTTCTCTCCCTTCTCTTGTAGTGTTTTAAATGTCTTAGCTGTCTTTTTATATCAAAGGCCAACACAGCTAAACAAGTAGTACAGTCTTTGAATCCTCTCTCTGTATAACTTCCCGCCCAACCTTTCATTTAGATATATAATTTCCTCTCCTAGGAAGGTGTTTCATGCTTTCTTAACTACCTCAATGGCTTAACATCTGATCCTTATCTTGTATTTTACTTAAATATTTGCCCCTCTTAGAGCCAATAGGTGTTAAAGTTGCTTCCTTTCCCTTTGTTATTTCAGAGCTCATGTAAATATATTGCCATAGTTTCTGTGCAAGATAACATTACAAGAGGAGATTTTCGAAAGCATAAAAAGGTAGGTAGTTATAGTACTATTTTAAATATTGTAGCCTGCTGGTATAAGAGGTATAAGTAGAGACTCAACTGTCGTTAAGGTGCATATCCCATGAGCATGCACTCGATTTACAGATTTGGGACAGGTATTCTGTAGATAAACCTAGAAACTTGAGTCAGGATCTGGAAGGTGGACTGATACAGTTTTTAGATGTGAAAATAATTTCCTGGATTTCTGGTGTTTTCAAGGCCATAGTTCTTATGTAGGAATAGTTGAACTGTAATTTTTTAACTTTTGTTTTACATATAAAAAAGCTTTTTCTGGCAGTCAGAAATCACTATTGTACCTGACCATGCATCTGTTTCTTGATAACTGAATTAAAAGGAGGAAAAAAGAAGGTGGAGACAGTATTCAGTTTCTGAAGTAACTGCCTTTTAAAAGACCCCTGAAGGCAGTGGATACTGTGGTATATTGCATTAAATAGCAAAATTATCGTTTCATTGTGAAACAAACAAGGAATTAGAGCTCCATGCAGGGGAAAGGCTCATCAATAAATGAAGTTGCATTCCCTGCTTCTCATCTCACTTTCTCCACAGATAGTACGGTGTCTCTTAACATAAGGAGTTAAGCTTAGAGTCTGTGTGTTTCTACATGCTTCAAAATCATCAGAATTGTGAAAGGGAAGGACTGGATATTTCCTAGTAGCTTTTCTTTTTTTTTTTTTTTTTTTTTTTCCTTTTTTTTAAAATATGCCTTTTATTTCACCGTTAATCTCACTGCTATTTTCTTGCAACTGGAGACTGTTTGGATCGCTGAAGTGATCATTAAAGCACTTAACAATGACATGGTTCCTCTACTAAAAAGCCGTGGAAGCAATTTTCAGAGGTGTATGTCCCCCAAAACAGATTCCAGGAACAATCCAGGAGAGGTAAATAGTGCAGCTCCTTTCCTTGTGAGTGAGACTCATTTATGAACATTGCACTCTTTACTTCTTCATTTATGCTTTTAATTACAAGCCTCAAATGTAGAAACCATAGACCGAAAGGAGCCATGAAAGCAGAGACAAAGAGCTGATACAGCTGCTGGACAATGAAAGAGTATTTGAATCTCTATGCATGGCATTCAGAGAGAAGAAAAAAAATAGCTTGCATAGAATTTTATTATACTGAGTAAAATTAATCTGTGCAGTAACTCTTTGAAATTAATAGAATAATTCTCTCTTTTTTTTTGAGTCAAGGGAACATTTATTTACATTTTAATAAATACCACATTAGTGATTGGTGCAACGCAAAGTCTGAGATTTCACATCAATATGAGTTACAGCATCCATATTTAGTCTTTGCTACAAGGCTACTTTATTAATGGGACCAAATATACCACATAAACAAAAAAAAAATTCTTGTGTAAACTTTTTTCTTCAAGTTTGTTTTAATTGTTCCCCTTCTTGCTACTGTCAGGTCAAGATTTGCAACAGTAACATGCACCTGGCTGTATTTAATTTTTTTTTTAATTATCCATCAATATGAGATTTTTTTGTTGCAACTAACAAGTTATAGCTTAAAGCCTGAAGAACTATATCTCAGTATTTCTGAAACTGAGAAAAGATGAAGGAAGAACAGAGAAAATGAAGTTCTTCCTGCTACTTGTGCTGAATCATGAATTTACAGTTTACTCTTTTCCTTAGTGTTAAATTATCTAGAAGTTCTGCTCTTTTTGTATTTAGTTATTCCAGGGCTGTATGTAGCATCGAATAGTTTAAGATGACCTTCCCTTTATCTCATATACTTCAGTGATGTTAACTCTCTCATTGTCTCAGATAAAAGGAAGTTTTGCTGCTTTTATTCAAATCCTAGGGAGCTGGGCAGCCACCTGAGACTCCATTAGACACCTTTAGCTCTTTACCAGCTACTCTCAGCTCCTCTGGAGTTTCAGTTCTGATTCGACATATGGAACAAAAATATTTCACTAACCCAAACCTTCAAGCTTTTTTAATGCATGACATCAATAATAATTAGCATCTCCTGGGCAATGGTTCATGTGTTTTGAGTCCATCGTTGAAAATAGTAAAGCACTTGGAGATGTCCCCAGGCTATATGAAAAAAGTACAGTAACAGTTGCTTTTACTATTCTCCCTTTTACAGACAGTATTTTTCATCAGTAAAAAGAAAATTTGCATAGTATTCAGGTATAGCAGTGCTCTAGAAAGTCTGATACACATTAAGAGACTGGTGGACCAGGTTATTATTTAAAAATGCACTGAGGACATAGAACCTAGTTCTTATTAGTATTACTTGTCCATTTAATTTTTAGGTCTTCAAAAAGCTACTCAGAATGACTACAGGAAAAAAAAGTAAGTACACCCATGTGGAAAACAATGTGTGCTTTCTTATCTAAGCCTAACAATCAAAGTAATAAACTAACCTTGTCACAGACCAGTAGATACATGGCTCAATAATACCCAGCTTTTAACTGCTATGTAAGGATCAAGGTAGATCTGAGAGAAAAGTGTGTTCATAACTAAGAATGTTGTCTGGAAGAAGATGAAGATTGGGACAGTACTGTACTTAAAGATACTGTTTTATTTGAAGAGTTTCCACTAACAAAAGAAGGGAGAAGATTTATTTTTTTTTTCCCCTGGAATATCATAGCTGCTAGACTGTATTTTGTTTGTTTTCTTGCTTTTTCACAGTTCTTATAGCACCTGAAATGCATTGTACATAAAGGTGTATTTCTCCGATGTCTTCCTTCCCCTCTTGCTTTTATGTAGACACCAGTGTAAAAGGAGTACAATACAGCACTGTTATTTGAAATCAGTTGAAGTCTCAACAAAAAGGCGTTAACTCTTCACATGGAAAGGAGACCCAAGTGTGTTCTTGTTTTTACCTGCTTTGTGGCCTTTATTCAGTCACTTCATGGGCTGGGACTCTTTGAACTCTTCAAAGCTCTAATTGTCTCCATCTCTTAATTATTTTGACTGAATTTCTTCCAGATGGGACCACCACTCTTGTGTCCTTGTTCAATATTTCACACAGTGCAGATCGACTTCGGTTCTGTCACAATGCAAGGTTAGAATAGTGCCACCTTCTCTGTCACTGGAAGGTGATTCATCCTTGTGGAGGATTGTTTGCTATGCAAGCATCCTTCATTGTTTGGCATGGATATGGCAGCCACAGTCAAACTCTGTTTATCGTTGTTGATCCTTTTCTACTTAGCAACAGTCATCTCCTATCTCTCATCCAATTACATTAGTATCAGTAGTCTTATGTTTTCTATATATATGTGATGATAATATTTGATCTTTGCTTCAGAGAGCATACTTCTGTATAAAAATTATAGGAGTAAGGTATACAGGAAAGGAAGGTGTTCTGACGTAGCGTATGGGATGATCAAAACCTGGACACTGCCCGCAGTTAGTTTGTGGGAATGTTACTCTGGCCTCCGTGAAGCAAATAATTCTGCATGTCTTCTGGTAAGTTTTAAACTGATGGTATACTTTAAAGTCTTCCAGCATAAATTGTACATTTGGGCTTCAGTGACTTGAAATATGTAAATAGAAACAACTGCATAAAGGACATAAAGCATGAAGATCAACAGCATAAAGAAGCATCAACTGTGAAAACTTTGTTGCATAAAAATGAAATATACTAAGGACACAAATTTTCTATTATTAATTAAACAAATTGCTTTGAACAAATGCAAGTAGGCAAGAGTAATCACAAGGTCATGAATTAAATAGTGGCTCAAAAGTAAAAGTCACATACCACTGCTGTACATGACACCTTTCCAGTAAATTTTACTCAGTTGGGAACTAAAAGAGGATGATCCCAATCAGGAAGAGAAGAAATTGTGAATGGTCTAGAAAAGTTACAGAATTCTTATGATAGAGGGAAGTGACATCATGCAGATATGGCTTCAGTCTTCAGATATTTTCTTCCCAAAAGAATTTGATCATATTTTCTGGCATTGATATAGTACCACCTGATTTAAGTGTTAGACAGGTGGATCATAACAAGCTCATTTCAAATGACTACACGATCATGCTTATAGCTGGTTGCTGTTATTCACAGAAAATCTCTGTGAGTGCTAATGCCATAACGAATAGGAAAAAGCAATAAAAATAAATGAATGCAGTCTTTTTTTTGCTGAAAATGTCACAAATATAAGGAGTCTGACAGCATATCTGGTCTTCCAGTAACACCTTTGAAGGCATGTGAGGACAAAGATCATCCTTCCCTTAGGACCACCTGAATTAGGTGATGTATGGGAAATCAGATGCTGAATGGGATGCTACCTTGGAGTTTGCATGTATCTGCAAGAAACTGAAACATGAGCACTGTCATGGGAAGAACTGCATTTCTGAAAGCTGCTCAAGTAAGTTCCTAGATTCAAACAAAAGGATTTATCTTCGTGGTCTATTAGATATGGTTGAGCTCAAGTATATATGTATACTTGTATGTATACATGTATATATGTATAATGTATAAACACACACACGCACAGAGTAGGATTCATCTTATTTAGCTGTAGCTGTTTATCACAGGTATCCTGTCCACTGGATTTGAGTGAACTCTTTATAATCAATGGAGGCACATAAGGACCTTCAGTATGTCACCAGATAGATGTTAAAGAAGGGGTGAATCATCCTTTGGAGGTTATCTGTTGACAGTGCAGGGCACCCGCCCTAATTTAAACTGAATATTCAACTTCTGGCTGGCTAAAACAAGGTGAAGTGATTCTCACTTACTGTCCCCCACGATTCCAGCTAAGTTGTCCCCACTGTTAAAAAAATATATGTTTTTTTCCTTTGGCTCTGCCTTCAATTTCCAGCCATGGGGCCATGTTACACCATTGTGTGCTGTGTGGAAGATCTTTCTCCTACCAAATTTTGGTTCAGATTAGCAGATTATGGTGAAAGTCTCACTTGGATAAATTTAGTGGATTTGTAGTCCTGTAATTGGCCACATGACTTTTCTTTGAGGTCTCTTGCTTTTTTCATACCACACACTCTACCGGTGGTGCCACCACCACCAAACACAATGTTATCATAATCTTCCTGGTTTATATTTTCTTGTTTAAACACCCAGAAATCGCAGCACACTTTTGCTTTTATAACAAAGTCCTCTCTGGGTTATTTGTCTGCCGTGACCAGCAAGTCTGGCTGCTGAGGGCTGGAGATGGTGGCTCCCAACAACAGCTGCTGCTCCACTGCCCACAGCAGTAAAATTTGGCTGTCAGGTCAGGAGGGTGGCAGCTCGTAGCCTTATTTGCCACCCACACAGGTATGTGGTAACAACCCAGCACTCTGTGGCAAATACAGGAATATGGGTTTGGCTTTTGCTGAAAGTCTGGGGAAGCATGTCTGGGTGTTTGCCCACCTTCACCTGAGGGTAGGGGTGGGCTGTTTCGTTATCGGAAGGAAGAAGTTGCCTGACACCAGGTTATGGTCACAGCGATCACCACACTTGAATCCACCCCCTGACAGAGTTCATGGTAAAAGAACAAAATCCAGTAACTTTACAAAATACCTAGTTTTTCTCATATTGTGATGCATTCTAACAATAATGGTTTGGGCCTGTACCTGGTAGAGAGACATCAGAATTGACATGTCGTTTGCACTAGCTTTACAAAATCTCATAAGAGAGTTTGTAGTTATTTTTGACACATTCAGACTCACTATGCTGACAGAAATCAGATTTGCAGCTGATAGAGCTACATGTTAGAAATGCCCTTTCACTGATGTAGTGACAAATGTCTTTTATCTCATTCCTTCAAGACCACATGGAAGTGATGTTAAAAATAAAATCTGTCATTTGATCTAATATGAACTTTATTTCTTTTCTTCTGGAGGCACTGAACTGCCTTTTGGCATGATGTTTTGATGGTATGAAAAGAGGAAAAGCAACTCTTTTTTTTTTTTTTTTTTTTAACAAAGAATGAATTAGAATTTAATAGCTGCAGCAAAATGCAGAGCACTAAGCAATACAAGTGTGAGTGAAACTTAGCCAACAAAGTTAATCTGCACAGAAAGTGGCATCAGTATTACATTCATTTTCCCACTAAGGATCTGGGTTTCAGATTGTGTTTCAGGGTACATGTTTTGTGCAGTGATCCAAGCTGAATCTCTGAATTTAAATCTTCAAGTTTTGACATGACTTGTAAATAATGTTTATTAAAACAGTACAGGTCATCTCAACACATCAACTGTAACCTACCAGAACCTGATGCAGATCTTTTTGAAATTACTGAAAAGCTGTTCATTGACTTCAGTAGGCTTTGGATCTTGCCTTCAGATGTTAGCAAGAGTCAGCTTACCACCTAGGTAGATTTATTACTGGTGTCACGTATTAGCACTCTCTGTAGCTTCATTTCATAAAGTTCATTTGTCTTTGAGACTTTATGTTTTGGGGATTGTGAGCTTGCTTGAACATTAGAATGTCATACTCCTGCAAATGAGAAAATATTCCTGTGGGTGAGGGTGAATCAACTCATGTGTCTGTGTTAGTCACCGCGGAGCTGTCTGGGTGCAGTACAGTCAGCTCTTTGCATTTAGAAAAGAAACCAGTAATAAATGTAAAGCAGGTCATCCTTCTCCTATTTGTTTCGTAAAGATAGCAGAAATACTTCTATTTTAAAGAGAACCAAATCCAAGAAGAAGCAGCTAACATCCCCATAGTAATGCAGTCCATTTTCTTCAGATTTGTTTTATCTTCTAAAATTAAAGTGCTTTTGTTTGCTGCAAGAATGACATACAGCCTTAGGTCCCTTTTAGTTTCCATCTCTCATATTCAATGTCTTCTACAATGTAGAATTGTGATCTGCTCCTTTTATTTTTATTTTTATTCTACACTTACTGAAAGTCTCACTTTGTTTCCTTGCACATTTGTAACATATATATACACATTGCCTTTAGCTTGTTTACCTCTTTGCTTCTTCAGCTTGGGTGAACCAGATATTGGCCTAATACCTGTGTTATTTGTAACTCTTCTGATTCATGACTATCTGCCAATCCTATAAACTTTCTGTTATTTTTATTTTCAGTAGAAGTACCAGGAGTATTTTCTAGACTAATTCTATTACAAGAATGGTAATAAAAAAAAAAAAAAAACCAAAACCAAAAAAACCCCACATCTTCTCTCCTCTGTGATGCTATTAGTTTTGTAAAATTGGTTTATCAATCATTTACCACCTACTTGTCAACCAAACTCTGAATTTTGTAGGAGATTTATCTGGGTAAGGACTGTGGTGTAGTTGGTTTAGATCCTGACCTTTGTTTTTGTGGCAATTGATCAGCTGTTTCTATGTCAAAGATTGCCTATTGGGCTTATTACAGCAGTGCTTCTGGAGTTAGCTGGATGTTGCAGCTCTCATTGTTCCTCACATTTCTGTTGTTTGAGTTCTGTCTTCAAAACAGTATATGAAGGCTTGAGTTGGAATGTAATGGATATTCATGTGGCTGTATATTCTTTAGTTCCTGTCAGCACTGCAGCAAGTCTTCATTTTTCCACCTTGTTCAATGAAGCAATAAGAGGAAGAGACAGAGTAGAGGCAAGACAGTGATGTTGATTTACAATGCCACTGGTTTTCAATGACTGGCAGCAAGTAACATCTCGGCATTTAAATTCCCTGCCTGAGTGCAGCTATGCCAAAACAAGTCACAGATTTATTTATTTTTTTGCTGTCAAAGACAAGTACCTCTGGAATTATCTGCTGTAATCAGCTGGGAAAAAAATTCCACAAGCTCTTCAGATGGTGCCTGACCTTTTGAGCATTTTCTTCTCTGTTAAGTATTATTTAGAAGTTATTGAGATGAAGTGTTCTCTCTTAGGCACTCTTTGCTCTCCTCAATATTTCAGATATCATTTTCTCTCAGGCTTTGGCTTCAACTTTTTATTTATTAACCTCAGGTAATATCTGGCTCTGATAGTGGTTTCTCTGATGTGACACTTGTCCTCTAGGGATGTCACTGAAATCATTCCTGAGGCTATCAAACAGCCACCAGCTAAAAATTAATTCTTGCAGCTAACATGGTGTTATTGTTCTTAATAGGAGACCTACAATGCAGTCTGCTGGGCATTATCCCCCACATTTTAACACTTTTCAGCATAACAGCTCTGTCTTTCTTTAGCTTCTTTCCTTTCATATTTCTTCCATGTAGTATAGCTATGAGAATATTAAGAAAAACAAATCAGTGAAATAATGAATTGATAGATCCAAGTATCTGTTAATCCCCTGTCTTCTCTTCTACAAAACATTTGCTTCAAGAGATTCAGCTGGACTCATTGATCATTGGGATCGGTCATTAGTCTTTTCGGAGATGCAGCGATCTTACAAAGTATTCTTTCCCAAGTAAAATCTATTGACCCTTGTTTTACAGAAGCTTTTCTGCAACCACAGATAGAATCTGTTTGTGAGGTGAAAAAGAAAGGAATTCTCAAAACCAACACAAACCCTTGTCTAAGCAAAATATCATTGTAATTTATTGTACTGTAGCTGTTACGTTGCCGCTGCTTAGTTGGAAAGTACCCAGAGACAACCATTAGAGGAATCTGCTATTATAACATGTAGTGATTTGAAACTTTCACTTGGAATAGCCCATCCCACCCACACTTTTCAATGTCGCCTGCTCAATATTGAAGTGAAAATGCAAGTATCTGTTGCAGTGTTTCTAGGCCTGCTTCCTGTTCTTATGGTATCAGAAGTTAAATGTCTAATGAAAATAGTTCATGTCAAGTGCTAAAACCGCTTCTGTGTCAGATCGGTGTGGTGGGCTGGCAAGCAGCTAAGCACCACACAACTGCTTGCTCACTGCACCCCATGCAGGATGTGGGGAGAGAATAGAGGAAAAGCAAGAAAACTCATGAATTCAAATAGTTTAATTAGTGAAGGAAAGAAGATGAAAAAGGCCGGATGAAACAGATGGTGCAAAAGCCGTCACTCAGCACCTCCCATGAGTAGGCTGATGCCCAGACAGTGTCCAAGCAATGGCTTCTTCCCCCAAACCCCACTTGGCTCAGTTTTTAATGCTGTTGTGACGTTGTATGATGGGGTGTATTTGGTCAGTTTGGGTCAGCTGTCCTGGCTAAGTCCCCTCCCAGATGGCTTGATGTGGGGGCAGAGTGGGAAACAGAGAAAGCCCAGCTGCTGCACAAGCACTGCTCAAAACGCTGGCCTGCTAACAACGATGTTTTAGCCACAAACCCAAACCAGAGCACATTACGGCCTGCTGTGAAGATAATGATCTCCACCCCAGCCAGACCCAGTCCAATCAGTAATATTCAAAAATCACTTACGGTGAGGGGAGAAAAAGAAGGCCTATATAGAGCCATACAATGCCTTTTTTAGTGATGTGCAATTTAAAAATTCCATCTTTT